ATCTAGCTTGCTCACTGTTATTTTAAGGTAAACTCGATATTTGTTTTATTAATTTAATATAGAAATAGGAGAAGTGGATAATAATATAAGAGTAGGTAATAATATAGAAGCTAGTTAGGTGATAATGGAGAATCGGATAATAATATATTAATATTAAAAATGGATAATAGTACAATGAGGAAGATTTAGAGGATCAACTATATACATGTTCAGAGCTAAAGGAAATATGTATAAATAATAATAGGGTTATAAAAGAAGATATGATTGAAAAAGAAATTATTTCAGAATTGATGGAGATGATAAAAATTGTACAATGGCAAATAGAGATTTAAACGATTTTAATAATCAGTTGTACAAAAATTCAAAAATTTTATTCTTTACACCTGAAATTGAAATAGTCCCATCCATTAGTGAAGTGTGCGAATATAATATCAATAATTCTAAATATAATAACATTAATAGTAACAGAAATAGCAATAAATTTAAAGTAGAATTGGTAAAGGAACGAGTAAATGTAATAATATAATAATAATAATAATAATAATAATAATGGTAAAGGAGCACAAAGATAATAATAATAATAATAATAATAATAATAATGGAAGATAATAATAATAATAATAATAATCATAATAGAAATGGTAGAGGAACGTGCGAAGATAATAATAATAATAATAATAATAGTGGAAACGGTGAGGGAGTTACGAAGATAATAATAATAATAATATTGGAAATGGTGAAAGAGCTTGTGAAGATGATAATAATAATAATAATAATTTTTTCTCTCCTTTAGGAATATGGAATTGGTTGTATCAGTTAGGTGGGCTTACAAACTAAAAAACATAAAAAATTTATAGAATATATTGGTGGTGAAAGTATCTATTTTTATTTTTTTTTATATTTACCTCTTCTCTCCTTTAGAAATATGAATCAGTTAATAAGATTTATAAATGAATATAGGAGGTGAATAATATAAAAGTAAGTTGGGTAATAATATATTAGATAATAATAAATCTTTTTGTAATTAATTTTAAATTAATTATAAGATTATTCTTTAGGTGTTTGTAGTAATTAGTAGTTACGCAAGAGGTAAATTGGTATTTTTTCAATAATTGGCAGTTACGCGAGAGCATTATTATATTATATACTGTATATATTTTTATATTAATTAATAAATTATATTTAAAACTTTTGTAATATATATAAAATATATAAATTATATTTAAAACTTGCAATATATATAAAGTTTAATAAATCTGCACATATGAATTTTTATTAATTGTGA